TATATATATATGTGTGTGTGTGTGTGTGTGTGTGTGTGTGTACTTACAAGGTTGACGACAAATATAGTTTGTGTGTGTGAAGGAAACATACATACGCCCATGATTGAGATGGGGGTGCGCATTTGCTTCCGTGGTTGACTGTGAACAATGATATAAGGAATTGCAAGCTTACTTACTCTTTTGCGTGTGTGTGTAATTTAAAATGTGTGTGCGTGTAGTCTCAAATGTGCACGCGTGTATATAGTAAGTTATCAATTGGTGCGTGTAGTCTCAAATGTGCACGCGTGTATATAGTAAGTTATCAATTGGTGCGTGTGTTAGAAGCGAGCAAGTATATGCTCATTTGTGAGGTGTGAATGCTGACTGGCTGTATGTGAGAAACGTTTGAGAGGGCGCCCGGGAGTATCGAATGACTTGCGCATATATTTAGATATGTCTTTTTTTAATACACACGTATTGTTTTTTTCTAATGGAAACGCTTTATATTGCATCGTGCGTGTCCAAGAGCATGTGCACATGTGCACGACGATCAACCAGAACTCGCTTACGGTACACTTTGAATTTGAGAATGGTAATGAGTGTGCCAGAATTCGCTAACAATCGTTTTAGCGTCTCTGGGTGTCCTGAAAATATCGTTGCAGAACAAACAGTCATCATAGGTTTGAAATTTAAAAATAAAACACATATGCCGAACAATCTCTCTCACAATTGCAAGTAAGGATAGATGCTTTAGGAATTATAGTTCAAATTCGTTTGTGAGACAGACCTGATCAAAGCTCCTTTATATTCTATCGGCTGATACTACGAATGACAGGTTAGCGCTCTGCGACAATGAGGAAAAGCTTCTGAACAATCAAAGGTTGCAGGCTATAATCAACATTTTCCAGGTATTTTATCTCCTTCAATACATAAATACATTTGTAAGTGCTATACTCAATTGAGTATATTATATTGGAAAGTGGACTTCTATATTCCGGTATATTTTATATTTAGTCGTAGCTGCATGTATTCCTGAATCTTCCTCCTTCGAACAAGATTGGCCCACCTACACAAACACACATTCATACGCGTGTGTTCCCTTATACATAAATGTGGTTGTATCGAAGTACCGAATGGCAGAACGGGATCTGTAAAACCTGTTCTATCTTCTATTGATGTAGTGATTTTTCTACAGCCCTTACTGACTCGTGTCTGTGCATATTATAACAAGCCATTAAAGCAAGGCTGTACATGTGCATAGTTTGATAAAACCTTGTATGTGGCCATATGACCATGTATATCTTTAAGGTATTTATTTATAGGGTTGCCGCCCGTCTGAAGTGGATATGCATATGGTATACGTCAATAATAATATACATGCTCGTATGTACCGAATTTATCTACCCAACCTAAATCCATATGTACAATCGTGGATGTATGAATATGACACTGTAACATATCCTGAACAATTGCACATAGCTGCTACTCGTCTGGGCCTCTAACCGCTGTGCATATGCTGGATATAGGTCTGAATACCACAATATAAATCAGTCGGAGTACATTCAGTGAAATGTGTTTCTCCTTTGCCACATATAATTGTTCATTGTGTCTCACGATCGCTTACAGGACCGAGCGGCCGTAGTTAGTGAGATACCCGAATCAGCTGCGTATCTCTTTGCACAACCTTCGTACGACTCGAAACCAATCCAGAAATGGGGGAAGAAAGTCTGGAAACCGGAGATAGGTGTGTGCAAATGAAGTTGGCATACGTGAGTGTACATATGTATGTTGCCGTTAGTATGTCTACTCGTACTTGGTTGCATATGTCACGCTGTGATTTGCCATGAACACAAGCCGCTCGTGTATAGCTTAGTAATATTTGGTTTTTAATAAACACTACTCCCACCCATACACTTGTAACACAGTCATCTGTTTTTCCTTATTATTTCCAAGTTTAGTTGACAATCGGTAATTATGCGGTTCCTTGCGTATCTCTTTCGCACAAACATTTTCATGTAAAAGTAGGCCACCTCACATGCATTTGGCGCTCTCTGAATGCATGATGCTATGGGTGGTGTATATCTACAATCTGGATCGAAGCTAGGTAGATCCACTTCTGTGCACGATTGTATGCACGAGGTGGATCAGTTAGAACAAATATACTATCCTTGCATCAGTACCATTTCTTTTCCTGTCATATCTATTAAGCTTGGGCGCTGTAGCTTACTGTCGACTCAGTTGATACTAATGTACGTGCTCTATAGTCACACAATGTTTTTATCCAAAACGGTGACAAGTCCAAATTTCTGAGCTGGATATGACTGGGCTTATATTTATATTACGCAGCCCAAACACTTCGAGATAAGTTTGAGCAGCTCACAAAGCAAGAGTTTGCAAAAGACGAGACCCTTGCCACTATAATCGAAGATGTGAGCGCTGCGCACAACACTACAGGAGGAGCGGTCATGCAGTTGCTACGGTATACGATAACGGGTAGCAAAGTATGTCTCTGTACCTGTCGTGTCACTATGCTTCAAACTTGAATTAAGATAGGAATATGCATATGCCCTACTATATATAATATGTTTATACATGCCCTTTCCTTGACCCGGGTTAGTATTTATGCGATTCCAGTGTAAAACTTAGCGAAGCAACATGGTTCGTTTCATTCTGCTTGATTGTGTGTGGTTTCAGGCGAATTACGTTGGCTGTAAACGAACTTAAGTGTGCTAATCGAATCTAGTGTATCGTTGGTGTACATTTGTGTGCCTGCAAGGGGCAGAAGTTACGTCAGTTTTCGTTATGACTTGTTATAAGTAGCAAGCGACAGAACCTGCCTCATGTGCTTGTAACATCTGGAGCACTCGAGTGAGATGAACACACTCCAGACATATTATGCTGCTGCAAACTACGTGGCCCACTATTCAGACGTACATCGGGGGGGGGTTCTTCTGAATCCCTATACCTTCGACAAGTTCACGACATTAGTTATGAATTACGAGTCTAGTTGTGTTGGAAGCCCACAGACTTGAGGTAAATAAAGACAGGTTGTGGCTTGGAGCAGGGAAGAGCGTTGCAGATTATACACGCATCATAATATTGCTTTTCGAGCGTTTGTGACCAATTTTTTTATGGTTTGACATTTGGACTTGACTCCGCTACAGATGGGAGGCAGTGTCGCACAGACCGCAAGTGTACTAGGAAAAGATGAAGTGCTAAGGAGGTTCGACCAAGCAATAACTATAACTGGAACATGATATATGTTGCTCTATGAAACAATAAAATCGAAAAGAGAAGTACTTAAATAGCCGATCTGCTATTGTGCTTAAGGAGGTTCGACCAAGCAATAACTATAACTGGAACATGATATATGTTGCTCTATGAAACAATAAAATCGAAAAGAGAAGTACTTAAATAGCCGATCTGCTATTGTGCTTGTGCGTCTGTGAACGGTTTGCTGGGTGGTGTGACTTGGATCTGTACCAGCTGGAATTTATTCGCTGCGAAATGACATTGTTTTGAAAACCTCCATTTACTTGGATGCGATGCAACAAGTTTTATTGACATGACTCGCTATGCGGATAGGACCGCTCCCTTTTAGAAACTTCACCAGGGGTCACATCATATTCCAAATGAGCATTAGCTAGCATATACTTTATTTTATTTTTATATTTTACCATATATTATCTATATTAGGTTGAGGCGGTGTGCCGCGTTCACAACACGTATTTAACAGGAAACGACCACAATGTTGGGAGAGGTTTTCCTTTTTATTCCGTTAAATCGGTACAAACGATTTGAACCTCGGTAGAGTGCGAAGATCGTCGATTGGGTAATATACTACTTCAGGTTTATCTTTATTGTCATAGATAGATTTCTCCTATTCTGAGATGACCAGCCTTGGCGTTTGTGGATGTAGCTTCGACGGCCGTAAACCTAGTGCTTCGCGATATCTTACACATTACGCTATGCATGTCTGTTCCTTGTCCCACTTTTCCGTGCCTGCCGGTGGTATCTGCGTAAACACCGTCGCACCAACTCCCACATTACACGCATCTGGCATTACCACCAATTGCTGGTGTGACGAAGGTTCATAAATCTTGATCCTTCTCATGATTAGCGTGCGCAGTTTCTGTAGTGCTGTCTGCTGTGACGCTCCCCATTTGAAGACGGCACCTTTCTTGGATAAGTCCGACATCGAAACTGCTATAGCAGCCATATTCGGTATGTATTTGCTCCACCAACTCATGACTGCAAGTAGTAAGATTAGTTCTTGCCTGTTGGATGGTGCCGGTCTATCGAATCTTGTGCTCGTTCCTTGAGAATCATATATGCATTCCCACCTGCTCACGTCCATAGAAACCTGTTGGTATGTTCGCCAGGGCATGATTTGTGTTTTCTTGGGTTGTAACTGGATCTTATCCTTAATACAAATATCTACGAACTGGATGACTTGCTGCCAGTGCTTTTCCAAGGTCTGAACCACTGATTCCTAGTGTCGACGGTGTGTCGCTATCTTGTTGTGGTCTTTGTACGGCTTGTGGTCTTCAACTTCTGCAAAGACTGTCTCTGTGTAGTGCTGCATGTCGAACGCTTCATTTCTATGCCATCTTGTAGGCTTGTAGGTCTGTGGAACTTGAAGTAAATTGCGTTAAATAGTCACGTGATTCCGGTTCCACCTCTAGCTGGTGGTAGGACGCTGCCAAGTCTGCTACTGTTGTTATCAACTCGTTCGTTCCATGTGTTCCCATATCCTCCTCTAGCGGTAATTGATATGCCACCCGTACCATTCGTTTGTTCATTTTGATTTAATTGATGGTTATTCTGTAGTCCTTTAGGTCCTTCGGCTTTACACGTTTGTTTTTCTGTACTGTTTTTACTGAGCCGACTCATTTACTAAATTTCTTTCTTTCCCCGGCCTTGCCCTGTCGATTAATTGCTGAACCTTCTTTAATTTCTACCACCTGCAGGATAGGGTTCTTCGTGAGTATATAGATCGCAAGGACTGTGCGTCGTTTCTAGGCTGTAGCTTCACCTGGACATTATTGATAAATTTCGTATATCTGGGGTCATATCTAGCCTGCAGGAACTTCGCTTTTATTCTGTCTACTTCTTCCTTGGGCTTACACAGTAATTGTCCTACTCTTTCCAGGTACGAGAAATCATACTCATCCGGGAGTTTGCCGTCCAAGTCCGGTACCCGTTGTTCGTCTATTGCTGACCAGGACTCCTCCTGTTTAGGAATAAGGAATCCTACATCCTGCACCTCTGATAATTGCATCACAAAAGTAGGTGGTTCTGTTCTCCTATCCCAATTTGTGCCCAATAAATTGTCCTGTAAAACGTCAAACCCCACTAATCCATCACAGTCTTGCGGTAGCCACTCAGAGATCAAGAAAGATATCTCATTAGTCTCATAGGATTTTGGAACCCCATCCGGTGCTTGCACTTGTAACAACAGTGTTACTGTGGTTCTTTGTGTCAACACTGCTTCACCACTACCGCCAAACCCTTTCAAAGATATCGGGTTAGATGATGTTATTGGGAACTGGTGTTTCCTTGCATATTCGCCCCTGATCATAGCTGGTCTTGCGCTGGTATCATTATATATCCATGCATGTTCATCTTCACATAGTGCTTCTGTGACCGGTCCCAAACATTCTTCTACATGTACATCTACTTCCTCGTCCGTCTTAGTCGCTGCTGCTGGATGTCACTGTGGTGACGATGGCCTATAAGGTAACACTTCCTCCTGATTATCAGGTGGCCTGTCCACTTGTTCTGCCGCTCCTCCCATCATAGTTGTACTAGCTTTTGGACAGACATTCCTGTAATGACCTGTCTTGTGACAGAGGTGGCATTCTGGACAGTTACGACTGGAATGTCGCAACGTGCATTTGCTACACTGTCTTGTCCGGGTGTTGGGTGATTGTGAGCGTTGTCTCATGCGAACATACATATTATTCCTATCGTACCTATCGTTGCAACTCGATGACCTGCTGTAGTCTCTGCCGTATGTTCTACTTATGTCTCTGCCCATGCTGGTCACGAATATCTGTCAGGTGTGGTTCGTAGGTCCGAACTGTAACCGTCAACATCCTGTCTATGATTGGTGTATTGTGATGACAGAAGGCACGCTGCATGTGCTGCTACTCGTCCTGGGCCCGGCACATCAAACAATTCCATTACGGTAGGTATCTGATTCCTAGGGAATGCTGCATTGGCTAACTTGCGTCCCGCTTGTTGAAGTTTCTGCATCTCTCGTAGTAACGTGGCTGTGTCTAAGTTGTAGATCGACGTTAAAACCGGTCGCAGGTTGCCGCCCTTTGTCACCGTGTGGAGCATCGCTTGGGCTGCAAAAGGGTTTCCCCTCGAGGCGTCCTGTCCGAGGTTTTCGTCAATCGCATTGCAATTATGACATGAATTGGTGTTTGCTCCTCTGACCTGGTCTGTTGATAAGGTGGTCTAATCTTTTGGTACGCTGTGTCTCCATATTAAAATTGGTTGACCGGATGTTGTAACGCAGCTCTCCCCTCTGTAAACTTCAATGGATATTTCTATGTTTTAAACTATTCTATATAAACTAAAATACAACTTAAGTCAGTTAGGATTTAGCAGTGGTAGCTTGTGTAAGAATGATCGGGACTGCCTCTTGGGAAGAGCCTTAATATCCTCGATCACACAGGACGTACCTCTAGCTGTTCTTTATTGAATGATTTTCGTAGTAATAAATTGCTTACAACAGCTGACGCACTGTCCATGAAATGCACATGCAGTCATTAGCAAACACTGCAGCTATAACTCACAAACCTACTGTTTTCATGGATAGATGTGAGTAAATTACAGTAAATGTTGGAAGTTTCTTGGAGAGAAGAACTTTAAACTTGTAGAAATGCTGTATGATATTACTAATTATTGTAAGTTTCGGTCTATCAAGGCGATATTAACGTCTTAGAGTAATTAAACGCTTAGGTTAAGTCTAAGTATAATTAAATTCAATGTAAATAAACGAAATGAGTCTTTTAGTAAAGTTAGGTATGCCTCGTGAAAACAGCAATACTCTGAGGGATTGTGAGGCTGAGACATTGCCTATATATAATCCTCTCAGTACTGTTTTCGCCGAAGGGAATTTATTTAGTATTTCATTGTCGCTCTACTAGAAACTATGATATGTTTCGCTGGGGCGAATTATAAAATCCTATCTTTAGAAAAAAAGAAAAGAAAAGAAAAAAGAAAAATACTCTTGATGTACATAGTTATTGTATTAACCAAAAACTTGCCACTTATCAAGAATTACCGACTTAGCCTTCATCAGACTGGCACATCTGGTTGGCTGAACGGAGGATAAACTAAGCAACGCTAATAGTCCTTAGAAACCTATGTTCGGTTGAGCCATCTCGCTACCGAAGTATTCAGATATAAATAGATTTGGAAGGCAAATATAGTTCTATTAATAGAACTAGACCAAACCGTATGATTGGTATTTTACTGGGGCCTTTTAATGGTGTTCGGTTGAGCCATCTCGCTACCGAAGTATTCAGGTATAAATAGATTTGGAAGGCAAATATAGTTCTATTAA